TGAATTCCATAGCTCCTTGTGGGAATCCTTAAAATCAGAGGGTTTTGGGAAAGCTTCAAAAGGCAGGCCTCAGAGACAGCAGAACTGTGATTAGAGCTAAGCAGTAGCCATAAGATTGGTCAGCAGAAAAATTATATAAGAAGCAGAAAAGTGAGGACAAATAGAACAATGGTCTGTGTATTAATGTTTGTCTAGAATAACTCCCTAGGCTGCAGAAAAGTATATCTAGCAAGATATTAGGAAGTTCTAAGCTTAATAATGGAGCTCTGTGCATTGTGTTTTAAGGCCTACAAGCAGGTATTGTATTTGAAATAAGCAAGTATTGTTTTAACCAAAGGTATGCGTCCCTGTAGTGGTTGGATAGAACTACTGTCAATATGCTTTTGCTTTGTGTGATTGGTCAAAAAAGTTTTGAAGTAAGTTGTAATATTAAGTTATTTGTCTGCTGCCTGGGATGAGAGCTGCTGGCATCTTCCCATTGTCATAACCATATAATGAGACTGATGCTGGAAAATAAAACAGCTCAAGATGCATTCCTAGCAGTCCTGTCCTGTTTGTGATCTGTACATAGACTCCTGGCCGGCGATAGCCCCTCACCAGAAACTGGCTTAGATGCAGAAAGGCTTTGTTAACAATTAACACAATGCAAACACAGAGTCACAGCGTTAAGGCTTTCAGCAATATCATAATACTATAAACAGTTCTTCACAGTACAGATCAGTTTGCCACCACACTAAGTCCTGGCACAGGAATTAAGATTAGCACAGAAATCCTAGGATACTGAGGTTAATAATCAGCCTAAAGTTGCTTGTATATTTGTGGGTAAACTGGGTACTGTGCTCCCCATGCTATTTGGGACTTCTTCACTGAAGTTATCTATTATGTTTAATATCCACACGTTTCATGGCGTCAGTGGTTGGAGACTGGGACAACACACACCTTGACGTGAATGTGGTGGCAAAAGGGCGTGTTTATTCCTCAAGCCCCTTTTTATAAAAGGGTTGGAAAAACCCAGTCTGGATAGCTCATTATTCTGACCTTTGGCACCCCCCAAGCTCCTGGACCAGTGAGGTGTCTGCAGCTTAGGATGGAACGTAATTGGCTGAGATTCCTGTCAGTCAACCCAGGGGCCAGGTTTATGGAGCTGGCAGGGTTTATTATCTATAGCCGAATTAACTGCCCAGTACAAGCCAGCTTGTACTGTGACATAATGTGACAGTTATCTACTGAATGAAGGAGTGATGATTATAAAGACATTTTAGTGCTAATTCACCAATAAAAAGTTACATGCTATTCAACTTCTTGAAAGACAGACTGGGACAAAAAAGGGGCAGAATCTCTCTGGATAGACCATTTTGATTCTAGAATGAAAAGCCTGAAGAACCATTAGGCTTCTACAGCCTGCTCTCCAAGTCTCAGAACACTGCACCAGCACAGCTGGGAATCCAAGGTATCATCTCTGATATAGCAGATAGGAGTGTACCTCTGTACAGGGAGATCTAATAGGGGTCCCTGCAAAAACCATCTGACATACTCAGAGACAACAGACTGTAGAAATCAATACAAAAATCATGTCCAATGGGTGATTTTTGCTACTGTATTAAAAAGTGCTCTGAGAGAAATCAGCATGATTTTTAATTTGTTGACGATGCTTTAAAGGGACAAAAGGGTACTGTGAGTTAAAATAAAAATATGAAACCCCATACCTTTTAATTTTCTCCTCCTGCTTATTGGCATACTGTTTGAGTAGGATGTGGTCATCACGGAGACGAAGAAATCTGTCTTCCAGTTCCTCTCGACTGATTCTTGATATGACTTGTCGAGCTTTTACATTCTGTGTAGATGATGATTCTACCCAAACCAAGGCAATTTTAAATTACCTTCAATACATTCAACAACATATAATTCAAAGTCTAACTCACTTTGAAATTCTGAAAAAAATTAATGAAAATTTTCAAGGAATATGATATTTTACACTTGTTTCAGTCTATTGATTAATTTCCTCAGACTTATTGGCAGGTTAATCACTTCCTTTTTCCTTTCTTTAAGAGACTAAAAAAAAATGTAGTTCAAATGATGCAGCAAACTGACTACCTACCAGGCAATGAAAAGATAACAATTTAGCAAGCAACTAGGAATGGTCAAACATAATTAAAAGATAGGAACATTACCATTGAGATGTTTTCTAATGTTTCACAGTGAACACACTCTCTTGAAGCTTGAAAGAATTTACTCATAGTTGTGAAAACAAACTCAAATACAAGACTAAGCCCAGCAGTTCCATTCTAATAGCAGCTGAGTAACATATAAGAATTGCATAGTACTTTTGGTTCCTATTTTCTTAAATGGATCTGTCCTTGTCCTCATTTCAGCAAAAAAGCATTCTCTTTCCTTCCAGAAGGATGAATGTTACAGTTTGATGAGTTTTTCAGTTTTTAGCATCTCACAGCAACCTCTCTTTTACAACAACCTACTTGAACATAGGATGAGTAACTGTACCTTTCAAAATTTAACCCAGATTTTGATCTTCATTTTGTGAAACATTTTTAGAAAGAAGCTAAGGAAGCCACTGACCAAAGTCTGCAATTGCAATAAATAGCATCTGGTACAAACCTTGTAATCCTTCAATTCCAGCTGGAGTAAGGACTGTATCTCTCATAGCCAGATTCCCCACAGTTTCATCAGCTGAAACAGGCATGGCTTACCTAGGAATAACAAAATTCGAATGCTTCTTCATCTGCGATTTAAACTGTGAGACTAGAATGAACTACAAAACATCATATAAAATGATGGCAAAAGTAATGACAGATTTACTGGAATGACTGACTTGTGTATTGCTGTAAATGCTCCTATCTCAACTGAATTCCTCAGAGGACAATCAAAACCTTCAAGTTTAACATTATGCCATTTTTAATCCATGCACAAAATATGGCTTATTTGGTTATGCAGTAGCTAGCTCCAATTCTATTCAATGCACGCAGAATGTAAGAGCTTTTAAAGTTCTAGTTCTAGATTGTCTTCAGCAATCTTTGGGCTAAGGCCATATTTCCAAGTGGATGTGGGAGGAGGAGGATCTGATGGGGTGTCTTTGCTTTGGGTTTTTTTTGGGGGGGTTTTGTTTGTTTGTTTTTGTTTTGTGGGGGTTCTTTTTGTTTTGTTTTTTTTTTTTTTTTTTTTTTTTTTTTTTTTTTTTAATTGTTTGTTAATTTTAAGTCATGTCAAAGCTTAAGGCATCAACTGGTAGGTGAATGCCATCCTTCACATTCTGAATGGGACTCTAAAATGAGGTGCTGGGGGTTATGGTGTCATTTCACTGTTACCTACCAATCTCTTAGTCTTCTTTCAATCATTGTCCTAAGAGAAATTACTTTTAAAAATAGAGACATTTCTATGAATGATATTAATAAATCCAAACACATTTCTTTTTTAAGACAACAGAAAGATCAGCTACATGACAAAGTGAGATTAGTAAAGTATTAATTAGAGTATTTATCACTGTAATATATGAAGATACTGCTGTTTTCTTGTCTTCCAGTGCAGAAAATTAAATGCTGGCCAGAGAATTAAGGAATGCTGAAACAACACGAAAAAGAGGCACATGAAGTTCTTAGGATGGCCTTTCCCTCCCACATTGTTACACCCTTCAGATGATATAAATCCTTAGTGAATCCAAAATTATCTAGGAATCCATTGGCATATTAACAGTGATGTTAAAAAGACTTGCATCAGAAGACAGAAGTGACACAGTATAATCCACAGACATTCCATGAAATATCTCTTAATTTTTTCATCAAAACTACTGCCTAAGTGATGCCTTTCTTCTACCAGCAAAGCTGTCTATCATAACCTAGTCTCCATATGGCTTTGTCCTAAAGGAACAAAAAGGATTAATGGAAGCTCTCTTTCCAACAAGTCAGTCTTGCTTTCCATCTTTTTCATCACTAAAATTTAGAATAAAATAACAATTAATACCTGGACAGATCCAGATGCTACGCTGAACCTTGAAAAATTTAATCAGATTTTATTTCCAAGAAAAGTAACCATACAGTCACTTCAGCACTTTTGTTAATCAAAAATTATGTGAAAAGAACTTCACATACAAAGAGAGGAAAATTTTCCATATCTCTAGAATTAGCCTGTAAGAATTTTCAGTTAGATATAAAGAAGAATTTTATTGTTACTGGAGTTCAAGAAACTTAAAACTTTCTTATATACTGAAGTACTTAATGTTTCTATCACCATCTGGCAAATTACAAAACACTGCATATGTCTTTGCTGAGTTATGTGAGACCAGCCTGCAATGAGATGAATGCTTAAAACTAGAGAATCAAACCTCATGCTTTACGTCCAAATTTTTATAGCTCACAAAAGCAAACTGTTGCACCAGTATCGTTCCAAAGTAGCAAAACTAAAGATGGATTACCTAAATTTTTAAAAGTATTCAGCCAGTGGGGGTAGGAAGCACTTCTAGGGAAACCTTAAAAATTACGACATTTAATTGTTTCAATGTGGATTTAGAGTTTCATGAGTCTTGCACGTGGCCAAAATAATGCTTTTCTTGCTATTTTCCCATACTCGGGCAGGGTAACACACCTCCTGCTTAAACCCAGCGGCCAACTACCGCTTTTTACGTACAAAATAGACACTGCAACCGAAAAGGCCTCTCGGGCTGTTCTGAATCAAGCGGTGAGGCACTGCCTTTCCTACGGGCATCGAGCTGCGCGCGAGCGGCCTCACGGGCCTAACATTATCTCTTCACGAGCTCCGCCGCAGGCCGGCTCCCCGGCTGGGGACAGCCCGCTGCAGGGAGCGGTGCCACATCCCCCTGAGCAGCTGCGGCCGCGCCGCGCTCCCCGCGCCGTGCCCGGAGGAAGAGCAGCGCTCCCACTCACCGCCCGGCGTGATCCCCAGCCCGCCGCCGCCACTGCCGCGGGACGAACGGCTCCGTCCGCTTCCGGGGTCGCGCGCCCCGCTGCCTGCTGGGAGTTGGAGTTCGGGACGCGCTCTCGGGATCCACTCTCGGCCTCTGCCCGCGCAGGGCTCGGGGAGTACAGGAGGGGAGCTGCAGCGAGAACTGGAGGTATTGCTTCAAATGTGCAGTTTTATTGCACATTCAATGTAAATATAAATGTTTGCACATTCAAATGTAGACGTTTTATTGAATGGTGCTCTTGATGGCTGTTGTACCTCTGCTGGGTTTGTTTACGAAATAGGAGTCCAAAAAAGCAGTAAGTGATTCCTTTGAAAGCAATTTTAGTGATATTAATGAAAGGAAGTCTAATTCTATAAAAAGATTAGAAAAAAAGCTTTCTAAGACTGCAGTCAGATACACCTGTGCAGGGTGTACTGGGTTTGGTATTGCTATTAATGTGCTATTCAACATTAAAAATGTTTCACTATGGGGCAGGTGTTGGGAGGAAAAGGTTAAAAATGGATTGGTGACGACAATGTTATTTCTAGAATTGTTTTCCCTCAAAGACCAACCTTGTCCCTGAGAGATCCTAAAATTATTCAGTGTGGACATTTTAGGTAATTGTGTTTGCTTTAGGTTGTTTTCTCTCAGCTGAGAGAAAGAAGATAACTCAAAGAAGATAACAGGATGTTAAAGACTTAAGTGCATTTTCCCCATATGCTTAAGCCTACTTGTGGTGTGGGGGAGGTGGGGCAAGAGGGGTGAAGAAGCTTAGAGATTGTAAAAACGTAGCCCTGTGAAGCAGTGTGCTTGTGCCAGGCCTGAACCACTGTCCAGGTCTGTTGCATGCACTTTCTGCCCTTGCTAAGATAGAATAAGCTATCACAATCACAAGTACACACACTACCTGTATGTACCTGACACGAAACATAACTTTGTATCTCACACTTAGCAGTGTCTGTGTCCACTGTTTTGCCAGCGTGGTGATGGAATAAATCTATTCTTTATACTTCAGATGTGGATTTTGGCCATCTTGGTTACCTGCACATATTTTGGCTCCCACAGCAGGGGAAAGATCTGATCTAAGTCTGCAACTAAGGATTTTAATAGAAAAATAACTTTAGAGCCTGTTGGTGGTAGTAAGATTCTTAACTCTTTAAGGAAAACCTGGTTATTTTCTAATTGGTCTTGTTTTGGTATAGTTGTATGCAGTTAAATGCTGTCTATCAAAATCTCAGAGACTGGCTTTTGATTTGTAATTATGCAGTAAGTTTCTTACATGTGCTAAGTTGGTCTCACTCTCTCAAATTTTCATGTGTATAGCAGGTTTTCATTTATGCTGTAATAGAAGAACAATTCTGTTCCAAGTACACATATTAGAACTTCTTTAGAGTGCAGGGCTATGTCGTGGTTTTAATTTGAAATTGGTGAGAAATATTAATTTTGTGTGGGGGTTTTCGTTTGTTAATTTGAGACAAAATTTTGTTAATTTTGACTTTTTTTAGGTAATATATTGTTATAGATACATATTATAGGATCTACTTTTTGCAAATATTAAAATGAATATATGTTATGTTGGAAAGTTATGCTGTACTAATCTCTTTTAAGTAGTGCTGTATTAATCTCTTTTAAATAGTGTGGTAAATATAGTTTTTAGGCTATAGCATAATATTAAGATAGAAACTATGTGATGTAAGATACTTTTTGTAACTAGCTCAAGGAAGGGAAAAGACAATCAAGAAATTCTTCTGGATAGAGATAACAGCAAACAGACACCAAGATCCTAAGAAAAAAATTATTGCTTCCTTATCGGGAAAGCTCAGACTTCGAGGAACCGAGAAGACTGAGTTACAAGATTTTGGGGGGGGGGGGGGGGGGAGGGAAAGCTAAAATTAAGCAGAAACACCCTAGTGTGAAAGGAATGTTTGAATCATGTATGAGATCTATGAGTCTGCAATAGGCTATCGCTTCTAAGGGGTAATCCTTTGTTAGCAAGGTGTGCTTTGTGGCAGAGTGCCAGGCACCTGGACGTCTGTAATTCTTTGCTTTTTATTGTTTCTTATTATCCAAATTTTTATTACTATTTTCATTATTATTAAACTTTTGAAATTTTAACAAAAGTGAATGGCGTTTTTCGCATGCGTTAAAGAGTGTGGTGGGCTTGGTGTTGTTTAATTACTAATGTATTCATTTTTTGTTGTGAAATAGGATTAGGAGAAAGGTAAAGTAGGTTTAAGATTTTAAAAGGGTAGAAAGAAAAATTTATTAATAGCAATTTAAAGAAAGAGCAATAAGAATTAGAATAAAATTTTTAGAATGCTTTTCTTATTTTTGTAGATATATGTAGAGAATGTAGAGAAACAAAATTTTACATTTTAGTTAATTTTTTTTAGAATAGTTTTTTTTTGTTTACTTAGGGAGAGAAGATTCTTTTGTTAATATTATGGAGACCTCTATAAGAAAAAAACAAGGATTTTGTGGTTTTTTTTTTTTATGAATAGTAGCCACCTGAGGAATTTTGTAATTGTGACATTGTATTTATTTTTTATAAGTTTTTTTAATAGTTGTGTTTATGGGTTATGTTAACTTCTGGGGTATTGTTTTAAAGATGAGTTGTTTAAAGGTAAAATTTGTATTATTTATTTTAAAAATTAATTTTATTTTTGGGAATAGAGGGTTTTTTCCCTTGGGTGTATAGGATTTTTTTGTTTGTTTAATTTTTTATAGGATTATAGTTATTTTAATATTTGTTTATTTTTGTATGGAGGTTTTTGTTTGACATTAAATTGGATTTTTCTTTGAATGGTTTTGGTGTTATGGGGAATAAGAGGGTTTTTTTTAATAGTTGTTGTAAGAGGATTTTAGTTTCAAGATTAAGGTGTCTTTTAAATTTTTTTTATTTGGGATTTGATTTTTTTTTTGTTGGCTTTGATGTTTTTATGTTGTTTTTTAAAGTCTTTGTATTTTGGATTTTTTTTTTTTTAATTTGAGGGAAGATTGAAGTACTGAAAGAGTTAACGTCTCGCCCGGAGCAGTTACTCAGTGCTTGCTGTGGGAACTGTGGCTGGGGTTGTGTAAGGATTGCATGTATGCTTAGTTTTCGGATTTTGTTTTGTATTTAATTTTAGTTGTAGGGTTACTCTGTATGGTCTGCAGGGCCACTTCTGGTTTTAGTTGTCTGATTTTGTGCGGCGGCCGCGCTGCGGGGAGGAGACCTGGTGGTGAGACATTAACCGCCGCGGCCCGGCTTTGCTTCGGTAGCGCCACCGCACCTTCCCTGTTTTTTGCCTTGGTAGTTGTTGGGTCTGGCTCGGTCGGGACGGGGCCTGGCAGGCTCCCCGGAGAGGGGCTCGGCTCTGCGGCAGAGCCTGCCTGGCCCGGGCCAGCCTTGTTACTTGCTCTTAGGTTGAAAGGAGAAGAGGAAGTTCCCAGGGTTTTATTGTCTTTAACACGTATTTTTCACAGAGGCTTGTCCAGTTTTCTAATGGCTGGAAGCTTTCCATTACATCCCTAAATGTCTCTTACATAAAACCATGACAGGCTGTCATACAGCAATTTCCACTTCACCTTTGCAAGCCACTCAACTGTAAGTAAGATTGAGTGTGTAGCAGAAAATAAATTGTTTATGCTAGCATTTAATGTTCCAAGCCCAAGAGGAGGAGGATGATGTAAAAATTCATTCTTGGGAAGAGGATCTGAAAAAAGTTTGGAAGCCATAATGTTGGAAATGATACAACTCTTTTTTTTTTTCTGCACAGGAATTTGTTCACCTTTGTCCAGGGGGAGTGGGACTTCAACATTTCTCTTCAAAAGACTCTGTTCAAGACTGTTCACCAGGTGAGGCTGTCACGATCCGTCCTAGAGGACAAGATTCGTGGAGGTTCTTTTCATTGATCTCAGGGTGCAAAAACTGACACGACAAGGAGATTTTGCAGTAAAATCAAAACAAAAATACTTTTTATTGAATAACCACAACAAAAATGCGTTAGGGAGAAGGGGAATGAAGAGAAGAGAAAGAATAAGGAAAGAGAGAGAGAGAAGAAAAGAGGTGTATAGCTACCAGACGTGCAGATGACGAGGTCCCTCGAAGTCCAGTCGACGAAGAGCCTGTCGTCTTCACGTCAGGGGAGATCTCCAAGGGTACCAGTCAGCTTTAACCTCTTTTATAGTCCTTTTGATTGGGGGAAGGACAGACACATTTCAAAACAGTCTATTGAGAAAGGGTACAAAGAGTGCATCAGCAGTCCATCAGCAGAAGGTGTCGTCAGCAGTAGGCGTCAGCAGTAGGCATCGTACAGAAAGTCCATCAGCAGCAGGCAAGAACCATTGTCTTCTCAGTCCAGTGGTCGCTTGCAAACTTGCTTTGGTTACCAGGCCTTTCCCACACATGCCTTCCCCCACCCTACAGTGGAGATTTCAGTCTCAGTCTTTTAGGGAAGAAGAGGGGGAGGCTTTTCCATGTAGGGGTCGCATGTGTCAGTCCTTGAGGGAAGAACCTTCTCCCCTCTCTGTCACGGTGGTTGATGTACGGTGAATGGAGGGTCTTTTGTGGTGACCACCGAGAAGGTCATTCCAGAGAGAAAGTCCAGCCAAGTCAGTAGGGTGGAGAAATTCCAGGGCCAGCCTTGCTAAGTGATGCAGGCGAAGGAGAGCACACTGCCCTTTCTCGGGTGCAGTGTTCCATGAGTTGAGCAAACACACCCGTAGACAATAATTTGGCTTAGTGGACCAATCAGACCTGGATTTTCAGAACAGGATCTTCTCCTTCCCTGGTGGTCTCAAACTTTCATGACAATCGAGAGGCAAAGAATGCAGGAAATTTCGGACAGACACTCACAGAGGCCTGAAGAACTTAACATGAACAGATTGGGAGTAACCAGAAGATACACAGGAGCTAAGTGAAAAATACCCCTTGGTGCAGTTGGAGATACTTCATCTGGGAAAAGACTGATAAGAGAACCAAAGAATAAGGACCAAGTTAGCAACAAAGGCAAAGGTATCAATAACCAATAGGAGATCAAATACTAAGAATTGTGTAATTTAAGACCAATGAACAAGAATTTCTTTGCATTTTGTGTGTATGAATATGTGAAAAGTCTGGTAAAGAACCACATGTGATGGAATTATTTTCACTGCACAGCCCATGCATGTGTGGATGAAATAACTTCTGTTGCACATGGCCAAAATAAAGTGTTATGAATAAAAAGTTATCTATTTTTGTTTAAGGTTACAGAGCTAAAACCGGTTGCTGTTAAGTTAGCTTCATTGTTAAGAGTTCTTCTTCAATTGCCCGCTAATGGTTGGTGATTTAGCCATTGTCCTCCTGATGCTTGCCCGGGAGCAACACCTGAACACGGCAGCATCAGGAGAATAGGAGTGGCCTGAGACCTCGTATGCAGATGAGAAATGCATTGCTCCAAATCTTCCCGTTTTCCAGGAAAACCCCTAAAAACAACGAGCCAACACAGAATTAGGGGACCTAGGTGATGTCTAAGGATAGGCGCGTAGTCCAGTGCCTGCTTGGATCCTTTTTGCTTCTCACCCTGACCTGAAATGATGTTCACTAAGGAGGGGACCCGAGGTGTTAGACCGAAAAGTAGGAATCTGCTAATCTCCCGTGAGGACGCAGTCCCCAGCTCTGCCTGCAGACCAGCGGACAGAGCTGCATCACCCTCCTCCTCCGTGCCACTCCTGGGAGCAGCGGCAGCATGGGCACAACCCGTCGATTTCTCCCCACCTGAGCTGAATCTCTTTAATAAAGGCATTAAAAAGGAGAAAGATCTCCTGCCCATTTATTTCATAAAGTAATGCATAATTCTCCAACATTGAAAAGATGTTGTTGAAGAGTTTCTGTTATTCCCATGGTTTCAGTGACAATAGAACACTGCCTTCACAGAGGAAGTCTGTGAAGTTCCACCGGGCACCGGGAGCTGCAGTGTGTGGGTGGGGAACAAATCCCTGGAGGCCTCCCACCCCATGGGGTCCCCCAGGGGGAGGTGGAGGGGGTGGGGGGAGCAGCCGTGCCCCTGGCTGTGACTGCCACCTGCGCACCTAAGGACTCGGGGTGGGTGTTACGCACCACAGTGTAGCAGGCCCAGGGCCTGCAAGGCCTCCTTGGAGGTCAGAAGCCTGAGCTAGGAAATGCCAAGTCACGATGACTGGGCCTTAGAAGCCCCTCTCTTCCGCCTTTTGGATCCTGCTTATCTCTCTGTAAGCCTATAGGTCACTTTCCCCTGACCCTTACTATTGGACAATTTCCAAAACCCCTGTAGGGTATAAAAACCCCTAATTCTGCCTGGTTCGGCAGAAGAGCTGTCACTGAGAACCTTCATGGAAGACCCTAATAAAGAATCCTGCGGAACCTCATACAGCGCTTCTCCTCTCCCTTCCTGCGTCTGCTGCTGCGGCCCAAGCAAGCTAAAGAGCTGATATCACAGAGCGCTGATAATCACTAGGAGCTGAAATCACTTAAGCTTGCTTGGCTGCCTGCAGCTGGGAATGGCTTGGGAGTTCGGACACTGTTCTGAGCCTCCACTGAGTTATCTTGGCCACGGCAGTCCACCAGGCACAGCCCGGCTGGAACCTGCTGCGATACCACAGTTGTAGCAGGGACCGGGCCATGTAGGGCCACAGAAGGGACCATGGCACTGTCTGCATGCTGTCCCTGCTGCTTCTCCTCCAGCCACTGGGGGGGTCAGCAGCTCCACTGGGACACTGTGGGGGTCTTGTGGAAGCCAGGGGCCATTGTGACACAGTGGGGATGCAGGGAACCCACATTCCATTGTGACCCCATGCCATGCTTTGTGATACTGTGAAACTTCACAGAACCCTGGGGACCACTGTGACACCACAGAGCCTTAGGGAACCCTGGAGACAGTGAGAATGCTACAGAACCTCATGGAGCCCTGGGGCCTACTGTGACACCATGAAACCTTTGGTGGAACTAAGGGGCCATAGTGACGCTGTGGGGCCTTTTGGAACCAAGGAGACCCTGGTGGGAGCCCACGTGATCATTAATCCTGGCAGGAACCTGCTCCCTGTGAGCTCCTCTCTCCAGGCTTCCACAGGTCCTGCCAGGATCCTGCTCCAGCACTGGCTTGCCACAGGCACATGGCTTCCTTTGGGAATAACGTCTCTGCTCCAGGATGGCATTCTGTAGAGGATGCAGGTGGATTTTTTGTTCCCTCATGGCATGTAGGTGGACAATAAAGCCTGAGCCAGCGCCCCACCACCCCAGCCCTTGTCTGGCTGTGTTATCAGGGTGGGGGAAATTTGGCACAACAAGGTCGGGGGAGGCAAGGAAAGGCAAATTAAATGAGAGGCTGGCAAGGTAAGGGCAGGCCAGGAGAAAACCACCCACTGTTCACCTGGACCATCATACTGCTGCAGCCATCATGTCAGTCATTGCCAGGCCTCTAACAGGTGCTGGCTAAGGAGAAAACTACTGCCATGGCATGAAAGCTTTCCTTAAGAGTCAAAATCAAGCGGAGAAAATCTGTGCAACCAGGTGCTTTTTCTTCCCAAAGAACACAAACATCTTTTATAATTTTACATATTTTAAAAGACTATGTATAGGCCTTATGCTTCTCTTCTGTACTTCTTGTTTCAGCGTCCTCCAACAAAAAAGAAAGGGGACCAAGAATTTAAGGAAAATACCTCATGCATTTTGCACTTAAAATATGTAAAAATAACTTTGCAATGTGAGACACCTTGCTCTAAATATTACTAATTTTATTATAAGAGAAATCAATAGAGAGTCTCAAGGTAGGTTGAAAGTATAGAGACAAAATAAAACTAAAAATCAAAAAGTCATTAAAAATCATACAAAATGAGATAAAGCCAAATTATGACATAACACTTAAGAATTTATTATTATGAAATGCAACATAGAGAATTAACTTGTCAATGAGTTATCATGTATGCAAAATAAGGAATTATAAGAAAATTTAGTGTACATTAAAATTTACATGCATAATGAAATGTAATTAAATGTGTATAGGAATGTGCCCCCTGTTGACGGAGTGACAAAACTATCCTTTGTCTCCTTAAAAAGGAAAAAAGCCCAGAAGTTTCTTTCCTCAATTAGGTTAAAAGACACCTCATAGGACCTTGGGGACTTCACCTGAAACTTAAGGATAGCCAGTTGAATAGGAGCCAAAAAGTCCCACCTAAGCAATTTACTAGAAAAAGAAGAGAACAAAGAAAGTAATTGCTTTTGTGAGGTGTTTTACCAGGAGCAAGAACCTCTTGCACCTAGCTCAGTTTTTCTCTGTAAAGGGTTTTGTTATTTTGCCTTTTATTAAAACTTTTCTGTTTCCAACACTACCACAGGAGCCATCCTGCTGATTTTATGCCTTCTAAGGTAGCTGAGCTATCTTGGGTGTGATATAGATCTCCAAGAGCTTATGAGACCTGTCTCAAGGAGACCGTATGTCATGTGGCACCTGGACAGGTGATTTCTCATACTGAGAGACACAGTCTGGGAAATTTTTGATTGGCCCTCAATCAAAATAGGACATTTTCTCCTTGGTCTTGCGTTTTTGGGGAGCAGGCCTGCGACTGGTTTTTGTGGGCCAAAAGAAAACCCAGGTAAAGGAGGATCTGACACCATGAGAAAGGGTCCCAGATCAAAGCCTCACAGATAGTGAAACAAGGCTGGAACCGGGATGGTGCTGGAGAACATGCTGCGAAGTCCTAAAGGACCACTTCAGAAAGCTGCAATTTGGCTGAGCCAAGGCTGAGACACTGCTGCGTTTCCAGACCTGGGGAGACAGACCAAGGAGGACAGCTTGTCTGAAAATCTTCATTGGTGAGTAAGAATGGGAAACAAGTTGTCTTTAGCTGAGCAGGATCTTTATTTTTATTTGAGCTACAAGTTAGAAATTCAAGATGTAAAATTTGAGAAGAAACCACTTAAAAAACTCATCAGATGGGTTTTCACAGCAGGCCTTACTTGCCAGGGCAAAGGCAAATGGCTCAGTGAAATCCTTGAGATGAAAGGACACGTCAGGTACTGAAAGGACTGCTCAATACAAGAAATGGGGGATGATAGACTGACCCCACAGAATAGAGTGTTGAAAGCAGTTCATGTTATTAATCATCTCCTGTTAGTAGGTAATTGTAGTGAACTAATCAATCAGCGCCACCTGAAAACATCCATTGCTCTCAGAACTGTGGACGCTTTTGCTGTCCTTGGCTGAGATAGGAATATGTAGAACATGGATCAGATAAGCTGTGAGTTTAGAGGAGGTAGTTTCCCAAGATGTGGAGAGTGCAGACATCGCACACCCAAAAGTTCAATACCTGGGTGGTATTCCCAAGTAAGATGAATAACAGTTAATTCCCCATAAACCTCTAGAAGTGCTAGGCTTGCTTCCTTTTTGTGCATCCTGGTGGGTGTGGGTTGTGACCCTATATTGCCAGCCAGGGGTCTATGTACAAATCACGAATGGGATGGGACTGCTAGGAATGCATCTTGAGCTGTTTTATTTTCCAGCATCAGTCTCATTATATGGTTATGACAATGGGAAGGTGCCAGCAGCTCACATCTCTGGCAGCAGACAAATAACTTAATATTACAACTTACTTCAAAACTTTTTTGACCAATCACACAAAGCAAAAGCATATTGACAGTAGTTCTATCCAACCACTATAAGCATATGTACCTTTTGCTAAAAAAATGCTTGCTTATTTCAAATACAATACCTGCTTGTAAGCCTTAAAACACAATGCACAGAGCTCCATTATTAAGCTTAGAACTTCCTAATATCTTGCTAGATATACTTTTCTGCAGCCTAGGGAGTTATTCTAGACAAACATTAATACACAGACCATTGTTCTATTTGTCCTCACTTTTCTGCTTCTTATATAATTTTTCTGCTGACCAATCTTATGGCTACTGCTTAGCTCTAATCACAGTTCTGCTGTCTCTGAGGCCTGCCTTTTGAAGCTTTCCCAAAACCCTCTGATTTTAAGGATTCCCACAGCCCTGCAGGCTGTGTGGGAGGCAGGGTTGTTTGGGCTTTTTGGTGTTTTCCAGGGGTCCTTGTTCTGGACAGTGGATGAACTCTCTCGCCTCTTTCTTCATGGAGTGTTGTTGTCCATCCTTCTTGTGGGGTGCTGTGTTTCTTCTCAGCTTTGGATTGGGTTTGTCAGTGCTGTCTCTTTTTGCTTCTATCTTGTTTTTCAGACTCCAGCTCATTTGGTGGAGGAGCTCGTGGTTTTGCCTCCTTGCTGGGGCTTGTCTTTTCGTGCTGGTCAGCTTTAGGGGTCAAAGTGCTGGGTGCTCCTCTAAATTAATCTGCCAGGATGGCATTAACAGAATATGTAGCTTACTTGGGCCAATGCTACTGGAGTGGATTCCTTTTGTTTATCCTTAGCCATGTCCGGAGATCCCTTTTGCACATGTCTAATTTGTATCCCAGTAAGTAATTTTACTGGTTTTGCAAAATGAGTAGGAGCTAGAGGAAAGTCATATGTGGAAGCAAATAGATCAAGTGCAGAGAATCGTTGGTGTAACATCACCAAAGCACAAAACAGGTCATGTGCAAAAGGTTGGGCATTAAGCCAAACAGCGAGGGCTTCCAAGCAGGTACGACCACTCAGTTACTGAGGATTCCTTTTGTTTATCCTTAGCCATGTCCGGAGATCCCTTTTGCACATGTCTAATTTGTATCCCAGTAAGTAATTTTACTGGTTTTGCAAAATGAGTAGGAGCTAGAGGAAAGTCATATGTGG